ATTGAATCACTATCCGTCGCGATAGGACATGTTCGAGGGACGTCGCCGTGACATTTAAGCGAGGAACGCGCGTTTCCGTCTGCAAGACGCGTGATTTGAAACGCGGCGTCTCGAGGACGCGCATGCGCGCCGCGACGTTCGCGAGCACGTGCTATCTCGGAGCACGCGTTTGTTTTTGTCGAGCTGAAGAAACTGTGTATGTTGAAAAGCGAGCCGAAAAAAGAAATACGTATTGTTAAAATAATACATATTAGAAAAGTGTAATTTTTCTTTTCTTTCAAATAATATAATTTATATTATTAATAATTATTTTTTATTTCTTAATCATAAACTTCACTTTTTGATAATTCTTTTTAAAATACTTTTACATTTGTTATATTATCAAAAATATAAAAATATAAAATAGATTAAGGAGAGAATATGATAATTATTTTAGCAGCAATGAAATTTTGATTAATATTTTTTTGTAATGATTGCATAACAGATAATTGATTTATCAAATTAAAATATTTTTTCATCAAATTAAAATAACAAATTAATTGATATATAGTGTAATATATTATTTAATATAATTTTCTTCAAATATGATCAACTTAAAACTTACGGCAAATAGAAGAAATTATTTAAAAGAAATATTTAAACAAGAAATTAAGAAACTAGGTATGCCTTTTTTCAATAATACAAGTATAATGCATATTTAATTGCATTATTAAAGGCAGTTTTTATATGTATCATTGATATTCTAATTTATTCATCATAATATTCCATCTAATATTTCATCTGTAATATTCCATTTCTTATTTAAGATATATATTATTATAAGAACGTGTCAAAAGAATATCTAATAATTTGTAATATCTACTGGCAATTATAGATTCTGATATCTTTGACATTGAATAGCGAAAGTGTTTTTGAAGTCACTATCAATGACTTCGTAAGAAATATTTTTTATTATTCTTTCTTTTATTGATGCTTTCTAAAAACTGCTTATCGCAAAATGCTTGCATGCGTTCACGATCTTTATCTATTTATAAACCATGATGTGTCATCATCGACGTTTCGTAGAATTGAACAATCACTGTCAAATCCAATTATCTCTTTATTGTTATATTCGTACCTCCAACGCAAACAAAAACTACTGATTTTTTCAATGTGATAGAGTTAATGTCCTTGCTATTAACATCATAAATAAAATCTAATGCTACAAAAATAAAAATAGATGTGCAGTAAAACATAATTATATAAACATCTCTGATAGATATATATATATATATATATATATATAAAGTATATCAATAATATTATTTCAGAGATGTTTATGCAATTATCTTTTTTTATTGTGTGCGCATCTATATTCTTGTAGCATTAGATTTTATTTGAGATGATAATAGCGAGGACATTAATTTCGTTACATTAAAAAAATCAATAATCAATAGTTTTTATGTATACGCGAAAATTTGAAGTATTTGAATATCTCACGCATTACACGTTCGCGAGAAAAGCGCGAAGTATCAGAGGCGCGAAATAACTCATCCGCGGCTGCGGGAGGCCTAATGAAAGGATTCTGAAAGGAAAGATTCCCGACGCGAGAGACTTTCAGGAAGACACGCTCTCGGATACTGCTCGAAAACCCGTCGATGTATCCGATGTCTGAGGGGGAGTACAGAACAGGTTTAAGAACGCCGCTGCTGACCGAACTTCAAATCCGTTCTTCTACGGCCGCAGTCAGAAACGATGTTTCGAAATCGATTCGTTCCTTTTCGCAGATCCACGTTCGAAGAATCGAAACTATTCGTAATTTCGATGAGTTTTGATTTCGACACTACGAGCAAGCCGAAACCGACATTGGGTTCTGTCAACGGCGACAAATAGATCGATGATTTTGAATGTATACATCGGATTATAAAATTTGAATCATGATACACCGATAGGTAAAAATAACAACATAATTTCGGTGAGACGAATTTTAAGACACGAATTCGATGTTATATAAGATAAGATAAGGAAATATATAGATAAGATATGGGAAATGTATATCCTTACGTAAATTTTTGTAGTTAAATATAGAGATTACCGTCTTGTTTTGCTGTAGTGTAGAAATATGAACTCACCGAAATTGTACCGGTTTCGATTCCCGGTTTCTAACACGCAGGTAACGCGAATACGACTATCATGCGTGACGATGTCCTGTATGCACCACGCAACAGCTGTGCATTGTGAAAATAATCGTATGGGATTATAGAAAGGACAGTCGTCACACGGAGAAAGTCTTCACTATGCAAATTATACTCGTCGAGAGGCAGAAATATCTCTAAAATATAGCTTATTATCAACGCACGTTTCTCGTGAAAGTAAGCAGATGAATTTATAAAAATAAAGAGTACTCGCGTGCGGAAAAATTAAATAAGCCGACAAAATTGCCCGAAGTCAGAAGGTCACCCGTTCCGTTCTGTCAGAATTTAATTTGACTCGTATTTCTTTCCCGAAAGTTACAATCAGCCCGCATGCAGGACACGAGTGTTAATCCTCGCAGATTTTTCATTCACTTCAACCCTTGACAGAACTCACTCACTTTCCCATGAATATAATACAATTTAATAAAAAAAAAAAAAACAACCCGCATATAAAAGGAATTAAATTTCCCTCATAAACGAGCCCTCGTGTCATGTTGACCGCGTGGGATCGAGTTCGCGGATCGTTCGGTCACGTTACGAAGCGTCGTGAAGCGGTGTTCCGGAGATTCCTCTGGGGATTCACAACCCCCGGCACGCGGGACTCGCACGGGATCCGTCCATTTACGAGTGCAAGGGGTGAGAGGGAGGTTGCGACGAAGCGCGAACGAATGCCGGGCTCCGATTTCACCTCCTGCCGGAGGACAATCTGGAGTGAGAACTCGCGAGTAATACGCTGAAACGCACGGCGCTGTGGCACGTGGCACGGTCGTCGCATGTCCTTAGCTCGCTCCCTCGCCTCGCTCGCTCGCCCGCTCGCTTAGCAGGACCACCGCTCGCGCTCGGCACCTAACGCGTGCGGCGGCGGCAGCGGGAACGCGTGCAGCAGCAGCCGGCGTTCGGGCGCTCCGCGTCGCGACTGCCGGCGCGCGGCGCGGCTAAAAAACCATACGATGACCTCATCCGTACCGGCGGTGCTCTCCTCCTGCCTATGTCCCTGCCGCTACTAACCATCCTGAAAATGTCGCCGTCGGCGCCGACGCCGCGCTGCCGTCTTCCGCAGGTTGCCGCGCCGCGGATACCGCTTATCTGCCGGCGTAGCGGACGTGAGCGCGAAAAGGATGCGAAGTTTTGAAAATCAAAGTATTTAAAAAAATCAAAGATTTTTCAGAATCGGCATTGAGAGACCGTGGAGACCTCTGTCTTAGATGAATTCTTGTTCATTCATATTATGACTAAAATATTGAGAGGTTTGCAATGTAATTGTGATATTTATAATCAGGAGAATTACTTGCGGGTCTTTATAGAACGATTTTTTTTTTTTAATAAAAATAAATAATTCGTTTGATGTGTAATTAGATTTGTACTACAGAGTGCAGGTACAGTCAAGTACTTCTATTTATTGTAAATGTTTAAGAAAGAAAATCCGATTGGAATCTTCATAGCTTTATAACAAAAAGTCTTATGTAAAAATATTACTTCTATATGATGAAATATGGTTAAATTCGAACATGTATTTGTGTACATAATTATCCATAAATAAGGAATAATCTTGAAGTTGGTCTCTCACTCCTGCCGATCCTTAAATAAATTTAAAAAAAATTTTCAAAGGCAATTTAATAATTTTGCATACCGCTCGTCAACTTTTACGCCTTATAAAAATTTATATAGTTTTAGCTTAAAAACAATCAGGATAGGCTCGTCATTTTTTTTGAATTTCCAAATATTATTATGGAAATAAACGAAACATAAGATAATAATTCCGAATCAATTTAAAAATTAGCTTGAAATTTTTGCTTGTACTTAAAGTATTTTTTTATTAATGTATTGATTAACTCTCAAATCGAATAGATGTAACTTTCTGCAAAGTTTTGCCATTATTATCGCAATTAAGAAATTAAAAATGTCTTTTAATATCACGTCGTATTGGTGATAAAAAAAATTTAGCGATGATTATCATTTTTTATCGCGGAAATTCTTTTGTCCAGCTTCGTTGTGTAGACATCGAATATGTACAGTAATGTCTATTTGTTTTATATTTAATATAAATAGACAACAATATTTCTCCGTTATCATCCGTAATTGTATTGACTGTTTTTCTTTCCCGCCGTAATATCGCTAAACGGCGTTAATGTACAACATCCTTTAGAATTGCACAAAATTAACATTTTTAACGTTATTCATTGGCATAGTTCTTTTTCTAAAATTTCATTCGCAAAGCAAAAATTTCATTAGAAGTAAAATAGCAATAAATTAATTAATAAATAAGTAATCTTCTTTAGAAAAGAAACCGTATTTTGACTTTTTTCAGATATAAAATCAATACAACTTGCTTTAATAAATATATCTTTCCTCCAATTTTTCTATAATTTTACAAATTTTTGTGTATTTTTATATGTAAAATATACTGAGAAGGAAAATTGTCGCCCAAGTCTTATTTTTTTAGTTCATAATTTTTTGATATTTGGATCTATATAATTTATATAAAAGAAATGAAAAAGGTATAAATTTTGAATTATAAACTATTCTCTGCTCTAATTTAAATTATGTGAGAAAATAATTTGTTTGTAATTAATTGAAGTGGAAAATATAATAAATTATTATTCAATCATCATTTTTTAACTTACCAAAGTTAAACAACTTTGAAAATAAAAAAAGGGAGATTTTCATGAGAATTTGATATTTAGAAATAAATAGAAATTGAATACAAATTGCGACTGACATTAACTTTTTTACTTAATTACAAAAGAAAATTAACTAACTTCATCTTGAATATTTCCCATGTATTTTTACATAGGTGTCTTTTACTAGTTCTATAATTTGATTAGCGATTGCACGAGAATTAGAGAATCCTTTCAGTTTTGCGATCTATCGATTTCTTCTAGATTTAAAAATGGCGTCGAGTGTCATGCGGTTATGTGCATCGAGATTCGAGATTTGGTTGGCAACCTGAAAGTAGAGAACATGGTAAAACACGTGTGGTATTGAGCGTGAGAAGCATACCTTCATCACGAACTTTAGGTATTAATTTCGTACACATTTAATTATACAGTTTCTTTTTTTTTTTAAATATTTCTATAGTCAAAGGATTGAAACGATATGACAATTGTTTTAATAATATTTAAGGTTAATTGTTGAATGATAAAATATATTAATATTGCAGAATACAATATCAATCCACTCTGATGAAAGTTTGTGGAATACTGTGAAATATTGTGGAATCAAGAGGTGGAAAATAGAAGAAAGAGAGAGAAAATCGTATTACGTTCAAATATTTTAAAATAAGAGCACATTTGTATATACTTTAGGAACAAATTAAAGATCATCCATTGAACATGGCTTCGAACAAATCATTCAATTCAAACAATATTCAAGTAAAGATAGAGCCCGATACATCTGCTTCGTCGATGCCGTCGACATCGTCAATGTCAACATCTTCAACATCGTTGACACCCCTTTCAGAAAGAGTATCAAGCATTAAAATGGAGCCAGGGTTACCCACAACTACACAGAGGCTGACATCTTTTCGGTTACCACGAGACCTGACATTAGGTGGAAACATTAAGACGGAGAAGCCAAAGAAAGTGTATACGCCAAATCTTAATGTACAAAGAAATAAAAAGAAGGAGTAAGTTATATTAATTTATGACATAATATAGAGAGAGAAATGCTAAAGAAGATTCAATTTCAGCGATCCAGCAACTAAGAATGAACCTGTGAAGTCAAGGCATAGTGACCGTGGAAGAGACCGAGGGAGAGGAGATAGAGGACGTGGAAAAGGGGACAGAGGAAATATAATACAGGTAGTACTAGTATACTAAATATCTTTTAACATAGCTGGAATATCCTCACATATTTAATTATCAATCAGTTTAATCATTGTGTAAAATTTAAAAAATTGTTAGAAATTTTAATTGTATTCATTGTTAAGTAATAATAGATATTGTCGAATAAAATTATGCGCTTTGGTATTCAAAAAACAGCATAATACATCTAATACTTGAAACGAGGAAAAAAAAAATAGACAACTGAATTTGTTTGAAAAATCTGAATTTACAACTATTTGTTTCTTTAATGCATGTTTTAATCTTACAATATAAAACACAAAATTATATTTTAATTTTAGTCTGTTGGTGTATGGTCAGAAGGAATATACTCAGCACCTAGCATTAGTAGAAGGTCCGAAGGTACTTCCAAATCTAGTAATACAGCAAATGCCGCAAAATATTTAGAGAAACCTAAATTTGATATAAAAAAGACTACTGATAAAACGGAAAAAGAAAAGAAATTAGAACACCTATTAACATTTGATTTTATTGATGATGGCCCTGATATTGAGAACAAAATAAAGCCTCTTATATTACCAAGAATTAAAAAGGATATTTATGAAAAAATTGATTATAAAATTGATAGGAAACCAGTCATTTCGGAAAATGGTGAAAGTAAGTACAGAATATTCCTTTTAATAATTTCTTCAAACTCATATATTTTCTTTCTTATAGTCATAAATGTAGAAAAAGGAAAGAAAGGCCTTCAGGATCAAAAGGAAGAGCTTACCATTTCTCAAATAATTGAAAACAAAACTAATTCTTATACATTAATACAGGTAAGAATAACATGTTTCTTATTAATTATCATATTAGATATTATCTAATTGTAAGAATTGATCGGCAGTTTCCAGAATCTTTGCCAGGTATGGAATCTAGTAGAGAAGAACCAGGATCAAAGCAACCAAATACTTCTAATGATTCAAATACTTCTAGTGAAAGTGATGATAAAACAAAAACCGAACGTTGTATTTTAAACAATTTAAAAAGTGGTCCTATAGGTAAACTTGAAATTTTTAAATCGGGCAAAGCAAGATTACGTTTTGGCGAAATAAGTTTTTTCGTCGATATTGGATCACAACAACGTTTCCAACAGGTAAGTTGTATTTTAATTTAAACAAGATACAATCTCTATAGCAAGCTTATATAATTGTTATTACTTTTCAGGATCTTTTAGCTGTAAAAATAGACTCCGAATCTTCAAGCGGCGATCTTGTCAATCTTGGTCCAATAAATAATAAGTTAATTTGTTCACCAGATTTCGAATCTATGTTGAATGATTCTTAAATTCTTCAAATGCATATTTTTAATAAAACATTTATATAAAGGGATGTCGAGCTGTAGGAGATTTGTGAACAACACAACGTATTATAATTCTCAATATTTCTATATTTTTTTTAATACTAGTAAATTATGTAAATTATTAAATAAATTATATTACGTCTGCAAATTCGGTATGGCGATTCTGATGTCTAGGAGAAATTAGGAGTCACTGTAAAATAGAAACGATTATATCATTCGGGAGCACACAGTTTTTATAAGTGGGTTTTCGCTTGTTGTTCGACTTGTACACACAAATGTTGCTGTAATATTATCACTCAAATATACTATTTATTATTTTCTAAACACTGCAATGAAAATTAAGCTTTATACAAATTAACACAAACAAATCGCTGTGTATACGAGTCCTAATTTCACTTGAACTTACTTAGGAACTAAAGTCTGAAAGTATATAGTTAAAGTTGATATTTTCCATCAGATTCTCAAAACATATAAAACCTTTACATCAGCATACATATGAATATTCATATCAATACGAATAAGTACACTCTGTACATTGTTTACTGAGAAAATGAATCTTTACCTAATTCTGGTAAGTCTTAATGAAATGAAGAAAATAGAGAACATCATATTTTTGTCAATACATTTACGAAAACTATTTCACAGTATGAATGTCGTTCTAATTTTGTTCCGAAGGGATTGAGTGATAAAAGATCCAATCCAATTATTTTACTAAGAAACGAAAGTTATTCATAATACAATTAAAATGTTTTGTGATACAGAGATACACGCACGATACATTCTTAGAGATCACGTTAATCTCAATCACTTCGTTCAATGCTATGTCCCTTTTTCATAGACTTTAACGCTTTTTCCCGAAGTTTCTTTTCCAGTTCTTCGGTATTACCTTCACTTACATCAGATTCATCTGAATCCGCAACCTTCTTCTTCTTATGCTTTCTATGCTTCTTATGCTTCTTATGTTTCTTGTGCTTCTTTTCTTTCTTTTTCTTCTTTTCTTCAACTTCGCTCTCCTAGAAATAAACCGAAATTCAATAACAAATGTTTAAAGAAAACTGATTTGTTTCCTGCACGAAATCATTACCTCTGATTCACTTGTACTGGTTTTCGCCTTTTTCTTACGCTTCTTTTTCACCTTTTCATCATCCGAACTATCATCGACTTTCCTCTTCTTCTTTGAATCTTTATCGATGAGATCGTCATCATCTGAACTCGAATCTCGTTTGGATTTTTTTGATTTTGATTTAGATTCATCTTCACTTGTCGAATCCTTTCTGGATTTTCGCGATCTAGATTTTTCTTCATCTGATGAAGTATCTCTCCTCTTCCTTGTTTTTTTAGGTTCTTCATCAGAACTAGAGTCTCTCTTTGACTTCCGAGATCTGGATCTATCGTCTTCGTTTCTATTTCTTTTAGACTTCTGCTCTTCTTCACCAGAAGAAGAATCTCTCCGCGATCGTTTTGATTTTTTCAATTCTTCTTCTATTTCTTTCCTTGAACGCTTTCGTGAATCATTTTCAATGGCTTCGCGTTTTCTATTATCTTTTTTATCTTTATTACGATCATCTATTGAATCTGTAACAGAATAACAAAATTGTTTACATATATAAATTATATGATATAAATATTTTATTAACTACACCAATTATTAATTTAAAAAAAATTTACCGGTTCGACTAGTATCTCTGGCTTTTTTGTTTTTATCTGAATGTTTTCTATCATCCTCAGATTCTGAACTAGATCCAGCTTTGCTTTTATCAGATTTATCTTCATCTGTTGAAGCTTTCTTAGATTTCTTCGATTTTTCTATCTTTCTTGTTTTTCTTTTGCCTGTAAAATATAAATACAGAACAAATATTAATTTATCATATTATCATTTAACATATTATTATTAGTTATAATTAAAATGTATATTTTTACCTTCACCATCACTATCTTCACTATCTGTAGAACCATCGCGCTTTTCTCTCTTTGTTTTTTTAGCTACTTCTACAGATTTTTTGGATGAAGGTTCCAATGGTTTCTGAATAGCTTTTTTATCTTCTGTTACTAGTTTCGTTGTTTTTAAAGATTTCTCATCCTTTTTTAGAGGGAAAGTATCTCCAGCCGTAAAATTCGCTTCTCCAACTTTTGTTAGTGAATCATCCTTAATATCTTCTCTGTAGATAAAATATACATATATAATGATTATATATAAGAATATTACTACTCATAACTTTATACGTATCTTGCAACGTACTTAATCGTTTGTTTCATTTTGACTGTTACTGCCATGATGTCTTCAGTCTTCTTAAACGGCGAGGGGGTACGAGACAAACTCTTTGAGAACTTGATAAGAAAAAAACAAAATTTTTTTATAAAATTTATAACAAATAGTGTTTTAAAATATGGTATATAAATACTTTATATCACATATAGTATATATGATATAGTGTGTGTGTGTGTGTGTGTGTGTGTGTGTGTGCGCGCGCGCGCGCGCGCGCGTGTGTAATATTAAAATTAAATTTTTCCATTAATCTATATAATAATCAAAATATTGAATATATGTATTTACTCTATGTCTAGTAATAGGAAGTGAAGTAACTTGAAGTTTCTTAGGAGAAACACTGGGTTCTGGCTTTTTCGTAGTGACGGGTTCCATCTTCTTAATTTCCTTTTCTGGTCGCTTAGCAGGTTCTTCTTTCGCAGTTTTTTCTTTCTCCTTTTTCTTGGCATCGTCCACGTGTTCACGTTCTCTTTCTCGCTTCTCCTGCGGCGTTTTGTTCTCGACTGATTTCCTGTAGACATAGCATAAGCATATTTTTTATAAAATCCATTTTATCCACCGAATAATACACGAATACATCACGACCGAATATCCATAGATTCATTATTATCCACTGATCGTAGACTCCATGAAATGAAGATATTCATGTTCAAAGTGAAAATTTCACTCACCTAAGTGACTCATCCTCATTGCTAGAGGAACTACTCTCGCTACTTTCCGAGCTACTTGACTTAGATCGGCCGTTTCGCAATTCTTTTCGCGATCCTGTATCAGGCGGTCTTTTAGTTTTTTCATCCACTTTCCTGTCCTTCGTCTTATCCTTGGTATCCTTCGAACGATCGGGAGACCGCTTCCCGTCTCTCGAACGATCCACCGATGATCTCTGATCCTTGGATCTCGATCTACGATCCTTAGATCTAGATCTACGATCCTTGTCTCGTCGTTCTCTGGAGCGATCCCGCCTACTTGATCTGTCACGTGAGGAAGATCTATCGTACCTGCTCGATCGATCCCGTCCATCCGGCGAACGACGTCGGCTCCCACGTCGATCGAGTGAACGGCGTCTGTCGCGTCTCTCCGATGACCGTCTTCGACGATCCAGCGATCTCCTGCGACGTCTGTCTTCGGGACTCGGTGACCTACGACGATATCTTGCCGGACTTCTGCGCGGAGGACTACTGAAATAATTTCTTATATATACAATGCAAAGATAATTTAATCTACAAAAAAAAGCACACAAACCTGCGCCTATTAGGCGGCCTGCGCACCGAAGGTGGTCGCATACTACGACTGCCGCTATATCGGTCCAATCTGTCCCTGTCCCTTTCGCGTTCGCGTTCCCGTCTCCTGTCGCGATCCCGATCCAATGATCTTCTAACATAAAAAAAATTTATATAAACTCAATATTGACTTTTTTATTAAACCTTTTGTAACAAATAAAAAATAAAATATATCATGAATAATTGCATTATAGTATTGTGTGATTGAATGCAACACGATTATATTTCTTGATAATACAAGAAATTATTTTGTTGTAGTAAGAATAAAAGAATATATATATATATATATATATATATATATATATGTATATATGTATAAAACATGCGCATATATTTCTTTTAGATAGCTTTGCCAATTAAAGGTTTATAAATCTCACCTTCGGTTCCTATCTCGTGATCTATCGCGTGATCTATCTCGCGATCTATCTCGTGATCTGTCTCGTGATCGATCCCGTGATCTATTTCTATCTCTATCCTTAGATCGACCTCTATCCTTGCGTGGCGAAGGACTTCTTCTTTTAGGAGCTGATTTCCTCTCCCGACTAGAGTCGCTATCACTGCCACTATCGTCTTTATTGGTTTTCCTGTAGGATCTCTTAGCCTGCACGCCATCTTTCTTCTTTCGTATCTCAAAGTCATTTTTATCCTTCGCATCTTTTTCTTCTTCAGATGCGGAACTACTGCTTGTACTACCATTACGTTTTCTATTGGAATCTCCATTGTCTTTACGTTTCTCTAAAGACTTTGAGCGAGACTTGGAGGATCTCGAATCGCTCGAATCAGATCTCGATTTTCTCGACTTGCTTCTGTCTTCGCTCTTGGATCGAGATTTCTTGGATCGCGATCGTGAACGTGATCTCGGCGATTTAGATTTGCTTCGCTTGGACTTTGTACGTTCCTGCGAGCGCGACTTAGATCTCCTCGATTTAGATCGAGATCTTCTAGATCTCGACTTGGAACGAGATCGTCTTAATTTTGAAGCAGGCGATCGTGATCGACGTATTTTCGAATCTCGACTAGGTGATTTGGTTCTGGATTTCTTTGAACGAGCCGTTGGTGATTTAGATCCAGAACGCGATTTTCTCGTTGACTTTTCCAATGATTCCGGCGATGGCGTACGATTGTTCTTCTTTTTTCCATCAGCAATACTCATCAATTTAGCTTGCAATCTTGATATTGCAACTGCAGCTTCTCTGCAAACACATTTATATTTCTCGTTTTTTTCTTTATAAACAGGAGAATATTTTAGTAATGCACAAATTTGATTTAGTTTACTTACGGTTTAGTTTTAACTGGCATCAAAGGAATAGCATTTTCCGGTTGCGGTGAATCTTCTCGTTCGATCTTAATCTCGGGCATATCTTTCCCGTTGTCCTTCGAATTTTTACTTGGTGATCTCGAAACAGATCTTCTTTTACGGCTTGATCGATCACGATCTCTGTGTCGATCTCGCGATCTGCTCCTTTTGCTCCTATATAAAGTAACGAGAGATAGATAAATAAAATATATAAATATATCATGTTTTTTTGAAAACTTTCTCATTTTCTTTAATGGTTCCGCAGTTATACCTGTCTCTATCGCGATCCCTACTTCGATCCCTTCTACGCTCCTTCGATGAACCTCTATCTTTCTCTTCCTTCTTCACTTTACTATCAGCATCGTCTTTTTCTTTCTCACGTTCCTTTTCTTTCTCCTTTTCTGCCAATGATGCTTGAAGTTTTTCTTGCTCTTCCTAATTTAATATATTACGACATATTATAAATTAATGTTGTGTTTACAAAATATCGTTTCGTTACAACTATGTATATAACTAGATTAAAATTAATCTTATCCATTTGGTTATATTCAACTGAATATTTCATTGAATGTCAAAATATAGCAATTCAATTGTTCATCCATTTCTAAGAAACTTCAAGTAATACTCATAAGTGTAGCCAATGGCAGTGAAGTACAAGTACTTTACATAGTATAAGTACTTTGAATATTATATAAGTATTAAAAATAGTTATCAAGTCATAAATTATAAATATTGTTTAAAAATATATATATTGATATTGATATAGATATTGCAATAGAATTTGTCATGTAAATGTTCTATAGATTTCTTGAATATTTAATAAATGAAAATTACATGTAATATCATTATCAGAGTCACATTTAACAATCATCATGCAGCGTGTATTTATCATAAATTTATAATCTTTTGAATTTCAATCATTTCATAGAAGTGAAAACTGATAATTACCAAACGCTTTTTAATTTGATCTTTTTTTTGTTGTAAGAAAGTCTCCGGAATACCCGTAACACTTTCTTGAGCAGAGACCAGGAGGTCCCATAATTCACCCATGAAAGAACGGGCATTCCTACCGTTCAAGAAGCCTGTCAGATTGAGCTGCATTTTTCGGGGGTCAGGAAACTGTAAAATATATAACGTACAAACTTAATTCTCCATATATAAATAACAAAAAATTTTGCAAATAGATTTTAATGACAAAACAAAAATAATACGTTAAATTTTGACAGAAATTTTGATATAATCAATATTCCTATTTTGTTACAAACTGCTTTTCCCCCTCGAAAAAGCAGATAATTATATAAGCGTGCCTTACCACCAATGCTGTTGATCGCACTCTTTCGTACCTGCATTAAAGTTACATGCTGAGGAGAAAAAAGAATTAAGACAAATGTAAATAGTAAAAATTAGACCGATACCTCATCACCCTTCATTGATCATATGCTGAAACGAGAGAGAAGCATTTATGTATTGAATATCGGACGAAAATGACATTTTCTGAAATATCGGAGAGATATAATGTGGTATAAAAGGATCAACCTTTTTACCAACCTGTGACAGTGGCAAAGAGTCAAACCATGTGTAGAGATACCTCCGGGCGCCGTTTTCGCCTCAATCATGCCATAACCGACAGACATCCAGAAGAATATTGAAGTCCTTCGCGAACCGAGTTTCGGCGGTAAGCGCCAGGTTGACGCTCGCTACTTTGTACTTGGAGTTCGACATCGGCGGTTCCAACGAAGAATTGTAGTTTGCGGCAGATGAAAGTTCCCGAATCGACACGCGGATGTCACTTCGGGATGAGACGATCAGGAAAAGTTGACGCCATCGGGTAGTCGAAGCTCCTTGGATGAGCGAAAGCTGCAAGGCTTTCAAAGTCCTGCGGCTCACGACGACAAACTACCTCGGTTGAGGCAGTTCACACGGACGAAAGTGACGCAGCTCTGTTGTAGGAAGACATCGGCAGGCCGTATGTAGCTCCGACAAGGAACGCGAGGAAGCAGCAGAATGACGAAAGTATCGCCTGGGCATACCGGCGATGTCTCGCGATGTCTCACGATGTCGTGACGATGTTGATGACGGCGGCAGCGGTGACAGTAGTGGTGACAGTAACTGCTGAAGCCGAAGATTTGTTGACGATTCTAAGGTGATGTTGAGATACCAACTGCCACAGCTGACACTAGGGTTGACGGCTGATAGAAAGGCGGCCAATCGGATGTAGAGAGGAGCACATCCGAATGCCATTTGGACAAAAGGGTTGGGCCCCACCAACGGTCTCTACTTATACTAACGGGGAATTCAAATACATATGATAAAGGCTGACTTTGCACAGTTCAATGTGGCAGGATCAGCTATAGATCAGTTTTTAACCTTTTTTTTCTTTTTCTCATTTTTCTTTTTTTTTTTTGTCGAAAGTGGATATGCTTGGAAAGGAATACATAGGTCGACTAAAAACATGGGACGATGAAACTTGTATATTGAGGAACGATGAAACTTATGGGAATAATAAAAAAAAAAAATAAAAAAATAAAAAAAAGAGAGAGAAACAATGTGGCAAATATGCCAAAAGGCTGAAAGTATGTCTGCCTCATTGCTTTGTGTTATCCAAACTCGACACATCGCGCAGAGTTTGGATAGTATACTTGCAATTTGTACAAAAACATCGTGCTGAAATAATGCATATTTATCGATCTCCTATAATGATGAGGGGAAAAAGCCAAGTGACTGCATTACTGACTGATATTATTAGCTTTTTCACAAGCTCTGCGATACTAAAAATGTATCTCTTATCAAGAAATATCTAATTCACTCAAATTAAATGTGATACATCTCTTACCTTCTCCTCAAGTTGATTATACACAAACTCTATCACCACTTCGTCTTCCATCCCTAGAATCTGCGTGATCTTTGTTGTGATCCATGGCTTAATCACATCAAGTTTCACTTTGCTCATATCCACCTATGACAAATATGTAAAAAATTTCCAGTTATAATTATAAATTATCTTATAATTGTAAATTAATAATATTTACATTCACAGTACATAAATTCTATTAACTGGAATTCCAAGTGCAGAAACATTCAGTATTAAAAAAAAAAATGTTAATTGATATTTAAATAAACAGCAAAATTGATTTTTCTAATTAACAGTAATTAAATCTTAGCATAAAATTTAATTCAGTTTTTGGTCATCAGAGATTAAAACATTTATGATATTCTTATTAATGGAAATTTATTACAAAGTTTACTAACAAAGTAGAGATTAAATATTTATAAAAAAATAATAACTGTTAATTACTTTCTGTGTCAAAGAATCTCCAAATTTCATTTGCTTCAGTAGTTTTTTCTCCTTGTCACTGAACCTGGTATCCTGCGAAGCAGTTGTCCCCTGAAGGAGAGAAAGAAATCAAAATCAAATAAAAAACGCAAATTCAAGGCATATATAAATTCGAGAGTAAAAAATTACAAATAATCTACAAAAATATTTCGCATTCTAGATTGAATAAAAAATCAATCTCTTCAACAAAAATATAAAGAGCATACAAAATATGGAAAGTTTATAATGTGAAAGCTTATGAAAAGTTTTCAATTCTAATTCTTGAATTTAAAAAAATTTATCGAAGAATTCTTTTGAAGAAAAATAAACATCTTGCCACTTATTTGGATTTTGAAACTTATTTCAGAAACGGTCTTGGTGGGGATAAAACAAAAATTGCTGACTTTTCAGCATTTTCACTATAAGAAAGCTCAAAGATTATGTCAGGAAATATAATGCGCCGGTGACGCGACGTCTCTTACTGTGTACATCATCTTGGCAACGTGCAGCAGGAGCCCGGAGCTCTGCGAGATGAAGTGAAGTATTAAATCTGCGAGACGCCAGTCGACAGCTTGTCTTCTGTGACAATAAACGAACGAATTAAATCACATCCGTCCCTGATCGTTAGCATGCAACAATGTTTGGGCTTCCAAAGTACGATTTCACGCGAATAATTACCTCGCTAAGAATCATATACGGATGCAAACTCAGCACGGTTTACTAATATGGCGGTCGTGCCGTTGGTCACGCAACAGGAGCAGCGCGCGCAGCGGCCACGATATATATAAAACTGTTTAGATACGAAAATTCATCATTTTGTCCAAACCGGAAGCGGATGGCATTAATAATCCTATGGAAGGATGCGAAAGTTGTTTCTGGACTATTTTGTGGAGCAGACATGTTCCGTCCTAAATAATTTTTATCTTGCGTCATATCTCATTTCAGTCTTTGCTTTCTAATTCTGATTTTGCTTTGCTGAATTTTCGATTCTGCAATTCAATCTTCAATTCATCTTTTCGATTTGCTATTATCGCTCCTTGGCCTGTGTCCATTGAGTGTTCATATCAAGAAGAGAAAAAGATAAGAGTGCGAATTTGAATTTTTAAAGAAATATTGTTTCTAAAAAATTAGAGAACTTTTATTCGGAAAATTTTACAATTAAAATTCCATGCAAATCACCTTTATTAAACCCTTTATTAACAAATACAAATTTAATCATACATTTTAAGGAATATATAATTCATACAGAAGCAAGTTACATTTTTATCCTTTATTTAACCATTATCACAGCTAAAAACAGATCATTGTTATCGGTTTGAATGAAAAAAAAAAAAAAAAAAATATGCAGAGACGGGACAGCCTACATCTTTTAATATACCCTTTTGATTATATATATATATAATAAAAAAAGAGCAAAAGAGACTTATTGTATTTCAGATGGAGAAGATGAATTCTCGTAGCGCTATTAAAAAATTACAATTTGGTGACGTCAACACAACTTAAGTACGGCAAACTATGCGTAATATTTAGTTCAAAACAAAGCGCATGGCGTTTGTCGTGCTTACACAGATTGAAAATCACTTGAGTGCTTATATACAGAGTTAGAGATTTAATATAAAGATCATCGATATATAATATTATAACATGAAATAGGCTAATCACTATGGCTAATATCTCCGGAAAATCTGATTTCCATCCGAAGAGCGTAGCTTGTCATTCTTCGTTTTCACTTCTTAAGTTTGCTTCCAATTTGTAGTTGTATCGCTCACATTGATGCAATTTATGCAACTTCGCCATTCTTGCGGTAATCTTCGCACTGTTTCGTAAGCTAAATTTAAAAAATAATTTCAGAACTATGTTCATCAATCCTTAATTCTTAATAAATTCGTGCTTTCGTGTACTTACGTTACAAAGTCGCGCTAACTCCTCATTTCCGCACACAAACGATTTGCCCCATGTGCATTTTTTTATGTCGTTGATTGATCGTGACGTACGTGGACTCTTAAATACCATCGCAAAATAATCATTGGAAGAGCATAAAGCCATTTTACTGCACATCTTTTCACTATCCACATGATCTTTCAGCATATTTATTATACTTGGCCCGTAGATTTCCACCATCTTGTTGCACTGTATAAATTTAATGTATAAATTTAATATATAAATTTATATTGATATAATTGATGATATATAAATTAGAGGAAAATAAATAATTTGCTCCTTTTTTTAAATCTCATAAGATGTTACCTTATCTCGTTTATCTAATGGCAGATATTTGCACACTTTCTTAACAGCTTCCTCGATTTCAGTATCCACTCTTCGATCACCTAATATCTTATCAATTTGTGATATAATTGCTCGACATAAGGCACATTCAGATACAGATTCTATAGGACCAAAATAAATCTCATTTATAAGACTAAATAAATACATTCCATTAATCCTATATTATAATACTATATATTATCAAAATTGTAGTTTGCAAGAGTATTAGGTTATTTTCACTCTGATGAAATAAATTGCAATATTCATATGTTAATATTAATAATGGTTTATAATACAACAATAACTCGCAAACCGCAATACAATTTTGAAAGAAATGTATTTTAAGAATATAATATTTATTCATTTATTTACAAAAATTATGTAATATTTTATCATTTATACCTTGAATTTGTTCCATGCTCACTTTGCATAAACCTAACACAGTACAAGCCTCTTTAGGACTGATATCATTCGAGAGGACACTTATCAGAGCATCAGCGTACTCATCCACAAAGTCGTTGCATTCTTTAGAAACTGTTTTAGGTAAATGATTGCATACACTATGTACCGCCGTTTCGATCTTATCTCGCGTCTTTTTATTACCAATCGCTTTCTCGATATATTGCATTGCAAATTCACATATTATACATACTCCATCGTCTAAAATACTTGTGGGCTGAATTATATGTAATGGATATTCAGATATCTCATTGGTCACTAAAATATAAAAAAAAAGTTAAAAGGGCTTTCTTATTTAAAAAAAGTAACTATATAACAAATTATGCGTTCCTCATATATTTTAAAAAATAACTTACATATCTCTCCATCTTTATCAATATAATTGAATTTTGGACCAGGATCTTTGGTTGGATCACACAAATGAAGGTAGGCGCATACTTCCTGAGGAGATAAATCTGCAAGTAGCATCTCTACGAGTTCTTTGCTATATGACTTTACAAAATCAGTACATTGCTCTGTCAAACTATGTGGTAAATGATTACATAATTTATCCAATTCAGCCTCAATGTTAGCCTATAATATTAATGTTATATTAAATGGATTGTATAATCGTACTAATTATAAATATAATAAATAGCAAATAGTTACCTCAGTTCTATTATTTTTAATAACATCATAAATTTGTGTTACTGCAAGCAAACAGAGTGGACAATTAGGTTTATCTTCTACTTTTGTAAGAGTAAAATCCTTAGGAATTTTTTCCCACATGTTTAATAACGCCTCCGATGGACAAATATGTATCATAGGGCAAACCTTAAATAATCATAGATAAATTATTCATTGAATCCTATATTATATATATTTTTTTAAGAAAAGTACAATTACCTGCGATGGATCAATTTCCTGGACAAGTATAGCTACGACTGCATCTCCATAAGTATTTATGAATTCTTGACATTCGCCTTCAATGGAAGAAGGTACTTTTGTACATACTTTTCCAAGAAAATGTTTCACTTTTTCCTTAAATTTTAATATATACTTACATAAGTAAAAGTGTTAATAAATAGTTTTAATAAATAATTTTAATAAATAAATAAATAAATTAAATTGTAATACCACGCGCGCGCGCGTGTGCGCGCACGCATATGCTCACGCACGCACGCACGCACACGCACACACCATTCTTACAATATTTATTATCTCATTATTCCCTCATTTATTACCTCATTAACCGGATTTGTAAGACTATCTTGTATATAATGCAATAGATATTCGCATAATGTACATGCTTTCATTCCATTAACACTTTCGGATTGCAATAAAGGAAATGGCATTAATCTTTCAATTGGCAATTGCATTTTTTCAGCTTCCAATTTTGGATATTCTTTGCCAATAGTAACTTCAATTTCCTCTTTCTTCGGTTGTTCTTCCTTCATTATAGACATTCCTAATTTTGCTGCTTCCAATGGAACCAAAGGCCAGATTGGTCCCTATTTTAACATAGAATGCGAAATAAAATATTGTTTTTCAATTTGAAAAACATATTTTATTATTTATTAAATACGATAGTATATTCTTACTTCTATCATTTTGCCTGGTCCAGGACAAACTCCAGACATCTGACAGACAATATTGCTGTCCAGTCCTTTCGTAAGATATTCATAAATTTGTGCGTAATACTCATCAACAATGGCTTTACACTAGAAGTTATTTTTATTAATTATTGTTAAATACATGAAATAATATATGACAATTTATTTAAACTACAAACCTCGTCGGCAAAAGATTTTGTTTGTTTACACAAACCCAATAGAATTTGTTTAAATTCTGTCTCTGTCGTGTTTGCAACTAGAAGATCTTTCAAATGACCTACAAGTTGTTCACACAACTTACATGGAAGATCGTCTTCCACTTCTACCATGCCTACACTTGATAATGGTGTTATCTCTACCTGTGGAATCTAATTATTGCAATATATAATTAATAAACAATCATAAATCATAAATATTATTAACATACTTACTTCATCTGTATTATCCTCGTGTTTATGGTACTTGTTGCTGCATTGCCCTGACAAGTGACATATGTTATCCGCGTTGAAATTATTCTGTAGATGATCATAAATGGCTTCAAAATGAGTCATAACAATGGCTGAGCAGGCATCTGAGAAAGAATCAAGTTGACCGCACACATTTAAAAATTGCAGAAGCATTGTATTCCGTGGTGTTTGATGTAACTTATTTTCCATATACTTTGCTATCGTGTAGCACTTGGTACACTCGTCAGGCTCAAGTTCATCATTCTTTAATAAAATCGACTTTGTCTCGTCCTTCTACAAATATAATATATACTCTTAGTCATTTTACTAATTATAATTGACATTCTTTTATCTATTGTTTTACAAATATACCGATAAAATATAGCATTTAAATTTTATTACCGAGATAATTAAATAAAATATATGTGTTATGGCAAAGTTAAATTCCAATCTAATCAAAAGTATTTAAAAATACTCAAAGATATATTTATAAGAAGATTAATAAGTTATTTGATGATTATTTGATGATTTGATTGATATAATCAACTTATTAAAAAAAATAAAACTTTTAGTCAATAAATTTAGAGAGATAAATTTAAATATATAAAATAAACTATTGTGCTAAATAGGCTCAGTATTAAAGCAACCACAGTGTTAGAGCTAAGATCCAAAATTTAAATTAATTCTTGGATTACATGTCCTTACCTTTACTAGTATTTGATACTGTTCAAGCATTTTATCAATATGAGCATTATTACAAAGTCCTGCTACAGAGCAAACAACAGTTGGATTCATTTGAGATGCCAACGTTTCTACAAGTTCAGGAATAAATTGATCCACAATTTTGATACATTCCTCAACAATTGGTTTAACATGAATCAGCTTGCAGCTTCCTTCAAAGACATCTTTCAAGTCTTGTTGAGTCTGATTGCTTTCCAATTGATCCCGTGCTTGTTGCACCATATCTTTACAAATTCCACACACAGTATCATTATCCTCTGGAACTTCCATCTGTTCCCAATACCGATGGATACAATGATTTACAGCGCTACATCCTTTGGCTGTCCTATTATAATTATTTATTTAACATAATATAATCACCATTTTATATTAGTCATATCAA